TTATTATATATATATATATATATATATATATATATATATATTTTTTTTATATTGGACGCGATATATCAATAATTCCATAGCTTGTCGCTGCGTGTGCAATTTACCGAGACTTGTGTGAAACTCGCAAGCTTCCGCATCCCAATGAAACGCGAGTGAGAGGCTGCAGTAACATCGCAGTGCGACGGCGGCAATCCGTACGTGAACGATAACTTCGTGCGAACGACAAAAGTCACGTTTTCGCGAGCGTACGTTTTGTATTGCAACGCGGGCCGGAAGTGGCCCGCAATTGCGCGAATTAATTAGATAATCAGCGCGTAGATAGCTCGTCGTACACACAGACCTTAGGGTGTAATCTTACTTGAAATGTATAACCAGATGATAATTTTAGAAACGTAACCATTTATACGAGCATATATATATTAAGAGCGACGGACGAACCGATGGCGCGTCGGTAGCGCGAAAACAACTATTCTAAGTACTATCCAACAACTAACTACCCTAAATGTTTAACCAAACGTTTAATAATCTTCCTATTTGATAATCTTTCTACTATCGATTGCTATACTTTGATAGATGTACCTTTCTCTACGAATACTTCGTATCTAATACTTGATTCTCTCGCTCGTTGCTTCTCCATCTTCTTTCCTTTTCTCGATTAGCGATGTAAATATCTTTAGTCGTACGTAAAATTGTTTGAATTTGTCGCGTCTCCTACAACCTTCTTCGTTGTTCTCCAGGCGAAGGGGAGAACGCGCATCTCGCGTCGCCGACGCTTCTCGCGTTACCTCGTCCCAATAAAAATGTATTGTATTTTGTAACGAAAAGTGAAACCCGTGAGAGTACGATAAAAAAATAACCGATAGTACGGTAAGAACAAGTAAAGCATACGAATTCTAAAGCTGATAGTTGTAGGGAATTGAACAACCGTTGACGCCGTTGTTCAATACCGTAGTTCGTGATCGTTGTCATTGTGAGCCGTTACTCATAATTTTCGCCCTTTTTTTATTTTCCTTTTATAGACAATTACGCGTCATGTACGATACTTGTCATTGTGGTTTAAAAAACGATCATTAGCCGCGAATCACCCGTTGCGGACTGTTACTCGAGAGGAATGTAAATCAACGTCGGAGAATTTTAAATCCTTTTCCTATCTAAATTGTCGATTATTTATATCGTATTCGGGAAATTGAGAGATGGAACTTTCTCTGTGATATTTCAGTATAAATTTATATGTAATTCACCGCAAAATTGATAAAGACATTGAATAACATGCTATTAATTTATATAGGACCGGAGGATCGCAGCTTCCATTAACTTAAGCTCAAAGGGACTTAATCGACTAACCATTTCCCTAGATTAAAAGAAATATCTGGTTCTATTTTATATCGATATTTATACATGTACGAATACAAAACGAAAAGAATTGATTTGCCCTTTCGATAAAACAATTCACGGTTGACCGTACCGATTAGCCTTTGAAGTCGACAATCGATACTCGCGTCGACATACCCGATTCTCCGACGTTCTTAGAACTCTTAATCATAACTAACGAATAATAATTTTCGTGCAAATATAATGTCGTAGCACATTGGATTGTAAATATAAATATTATTACGAGGGGAGAAGATAAGAGTTCCCTATTACTACTGCCATTAAGACGCAACGCCGATACTTTAGGAGCGTTTTCGTGCCGTCACGCTTGGACGGCCGTCGATCATTCTTTGTAAAATCAATTTCCGGATTGCTTCTTTCGATCACCGATCGATGAAAAACCGGATCGGCAAGGAGGAATGGAATATTACGCGAATAATTTCTTCTCGATCAACTCAGATGAGTGTTATTCTTCTGACTACGACGATCGATACCGGCCGATCTATGCTGGTTATTGTACGAGAAGTACGAGCGTACACGTGGTACTTGATTGAAAATCGTCCAGTGAACGTTAAAGCGTTCGTCAGACTCGAGGGAAATATGGAGGCGTGCATTTAGTATCGTAGACTCGAGGGATTTCGCCTAGCGAGAAAAAGCGAAACAAATCTACTCCACACTAGGTCGTTAGGAAAACAACGCACACATTTTCTATGATAGAGCTATATACTTACTTGTTATAAAATGACACCCGCGACCGATGATATTCGCGTCGACGACGATTTTGTAGCGATGAGACAATATATCAAAATTTTAATTTCACCTTTAGCTTGCTCTTTATTTCTTTTTACAATTTTATATTCAATTACATTTTTGGTCGAAACAATAAAATGGCGCCACTTGGAATCAATGAAAATTTGACAGTATTTGAATTTAATCAATGTTAATGTTAAATAAATCATAACGTTAGAAGAAGAGAAAATAGAGTCAAAAGAGCAATGACAATTTCATTTTTCTATCGAAATGCAGGACATCAAAATTGAAAGTATTAGAAAAAAATGTCAGACAAGCAAAAAAATATTCTGCTAAGCATATAAGCTTAGAAATTAATTAAACGATATACGTATCCAATATATATAATGATTATATATAATAAATTGGAAAAAAATCTCTAATTTCACAGATTAAATATATGTTAATTTTTCTAGTTTATCAATTTTCAATAATATACAAACTTTTAGTAATTTTTTTACTATTATTAACATTAAAGCAATAAAACTATGCTGCAGTTAAGCTAATGTCCTGCAAATATTTATCGTTGATTACGAAAATCATGTCGACGTCATCGAAATATTTGATCATAGTAGGATGATCATAAGACAAGAACGAATGAGAGAAAAATAGAGCGAATGGAGTGTGCACATTTAGATAATAAATTATTTAATTGGATAATAATAAATTATTTAACAAGATTAAAAGATGTAAATACCGTGTAAATAACGAGATATAGCGATAAGTAAAAGCTATAAATGGTTGGGCCCTTTTTTACGATTTTCAGATAATTACAAATCAATATCTTTCCAAAAAACTCTATGGGGCTTTTTAATATCAACATCGCGTTCCCGTTGTAATACGCTACATTTCGTCATTTTCTAAAATTATTTTAATTTTCTTTATTATTCAAGTATAATAAACGCGTTCAATTCTTATCCGATTAAAGAAGTGTAAGAAATTTTTCATCGAAAAATAACAAAATTGATAAAATTTGAGAAATAATTTTTGAGAAGTTATGCATTGACTAATTGCTTTTAATATTAAATAAGTTTTATTAAAATCTAATGGAATAATTATCCGAACTGTTCTCATGTATTAAATTTCAGTAAATAATTGATAATCTTTGTATCTTCAGTTTTATAAAAAAAGATAACCTTTGAGAAAACTTTTATATAATCATATAAAAGTTATTTTAAACAATTTGAAATTATTTATGTATTTACATAAAAAATTTAACTAGACTTTAATTAAATTAACAGATAAAATGTCAAAAATATAAATCAGTATAAAAATCATGAAAGAAAGGCATAAGAAAACAAATGCATCTTTTTATTTATTATAAATTTTGTTATATGAGGGCAATTTTGTACGATTGATACAATTTGATCTTTTATCGTGATTTAAAAACTGTTTTTCAATGCATTTTATCTTACTGTATTATTTTTCTGTCTATAATTTATAAGTGATGTATCGCTTGAAAAGTTTTTGTGCAATCTCTTTTAGTTATCCCGATTTCAACAGCGTCTGTTCGCGATTGATACTCGATTACAGGATTTATTGAAAATTTGAGCGCCATTAATTAGCGTTTGGGCATGATGAAAAGAGCGTGGAATTATCTCAATTCGCCGACATACAAAGCACTGCAGAGTATTGCATTTAAATGCATCGAGCGGAACTTGCCGTATTCGAAGGGGGAAAAAAATAACGGAGAAAGGCATGACCAAATATAACGAACGAGAACGTATCTTCTTGACATACGAAACGCGTTCAAAACGAATGTGAAATTAAAAACCGCAGAATTCAATGGAATCCCGTTTGTTTATTTGAAATCGCGCACAAAATGTTAACAGTTCGTTTTTTATCATACATACGCGATCGTTTTAGAATGTCAACAATGCGCTCACACGCAACACCGATAATAATACGTCTGATAAAATCGAGTGAATTGTGTGAAGACAATAAACGATCGACACCATTTCTAAGCGATTACTCGAAGGGGTTATTAACGAAATAAAATATATCTTACATAACGGAGTTCCCAAAAGCAAACAAAAATATATTAATATCAAGTGAGAGAGAAATTATTTGAAATAGTTAATATCCCCAGAAAATTGCATCTTGCCGACTTATAGATCTTCCTTGTAAGAAGCATACATGTTTTCATAAATTGTGATTGATGTAGTAAAATTGTAACGAAATATTTATGTGATGTATCATCAATATATCCACCATACTTCGTTAGAGAGATAGATATGTTTCGTTTAAAAAAAAAATAACCCCTGCAATGTACGAAAGATCGGAAAATAAAAACATTTTTGAACAATTCTCGTATACCGAGAAATTTTATTTGCAAATAGATGCGCTAATGCGCATTTAGCACTAAATGCGCTGAGTTTAATACGAGATTCTGATGTAATACAATGATGAAAATTGCACAGCCACAGTTCGCGTTAGACGCGGCTGTTTAATTCTTAACGCGGCTGTCACTTCTCCAGCTTGTCCAAATGTGAGGATATATTATTCAATATAAACGTGAAGTGAAAAAACAGGCGGCTGCATTTAGCGTTAAACGTGTACGTTTGTAAAGTCGCGTGCCACATAAATACGGTATAGGAGAAAAGTTGCATTTAGCGCTAAATGCATTGTAAAAAGTGAGTTGGACGTTCGCCGAGGCAATATGAAGTCGGCGATGTGCAGTTCTGCGATTTTAACTCGTCTCGGAGGATCTCACGACACGCGCGAAGAGCGAAATGGTGGAATTCTTCGCGGTGTATTTAAGATCTCGATTTAACATCGGGTATTTTAAATCTCTCTGATGGGGCCGAGCCCCAAACGACGACGAAATAAATCATCGCTTCCAACCCTCGAACTGCGTATCCGATAGCTTGCGAATACCGTACTAAACGCATTTAACGAGTTAGGCTAAAGACGAGAAAAGTAAGGACGGTACGGATAGATTATTGTAACGATAACATAGTGTGTTATAAAACGAGCGTACCGTATAGCAATAGAGCGCCGTTAACGAGAGCGAAAAACGGAGAGTTTACGGTGAACATTGGAATAATAATTACCACCGTTAGATACGATTATTATGTATATCGTTTGTTAAATATGTACCTACTAACTAATTATATACTAACGACCGTCGTTCTAAGGCTACACGATATAAGGACGAGATTCTTGTTGCTTGGTTTTGTAATCATGCTTGACAAAAGCATACGAAGAAATAAAACTTGTTGTCGTAGAAAAGTTCTCGCAGTTCTTTTCGCGTGCGAGCACCGACAGCCGCACAGCGAAAGCGAATCGATTGCAGGGCGCAGAGGACGTTCTCTTTATTCTATTACACCCGATGGATCTCACTCAATTATTCATGTCGATATCTCCGTGGCATTATTCGCTGTTAACCACTCCTGCACTTCCGGCAAGAATTCCTTTAACCACTTTATCGCGAATTTAGCGTGTGCCTCGACCATTGCCATTGTGTACCCCACGATCTTTATGCTTTCGAGATTATCTTCGCTGAAAGTCTGAAACTGGAAATTCAAATAAATGTTAAAACGATTGTTTATAGTGTTCTACAAGAGATCATTGAAATTATGGCTGACAATTCATTAAAAAAGGGAATGTACAGAAAGCTTAAAAGAAGATTATATTCCTTATGAAATTATCTGTTATTAATTATTTTATTGTATTCTTCTTTAATATTATTAAATTATTATTTTTATATAAAATTTTTATATTAAATTATTATTTTTATGTAATACTTAAATCATACTTACATCTTCAAAATCTTCTTCGCTAATCAAGCCATTCGTCGTCGCCAGTGCAAAAGCTTTTAAGATCGGACGAGATTTGGAAAATCTAAACAGACGTAAAAGTATATCGTAATCTACTTACAAGTTTAGTAAAGAGATAACAAAGTTGTAGAATACCTTGTGACGATAACCTCCCAATTATTTTGCACGAACTTGTAGGCAATTTGCGCAGCAACCGGATTTTGTGGAAAACTCCTTAAGATCCTTTGCGTCTCGTCCTCGTTATAGATCTTTCCTTCGAGAAGCTCACTAAGTATCCTAACATATATTAATACGAAGTAAGTACATATTTTATTATATGTTATATAATACATAATTTATACATAATTTTATACAAAATTATGTAATTTTTTGCAAGTTTTGCTGTTTTTAAAAATAATATTTTTTGTAGATATATTTCTTAATCAATGTATAGAAAACTTATTTTTTTCTTAAAATTTTTATTAAACATTTTTTGTATTTTTTAACTTTAAATTCTTTTGCCAATTAGAAAAGTTAAATTACTTTTAAAATTTATTTGAAATTAAATAATACTTAATAATTTTAACGATATTGCATTATTTATTACAAACTTTCCTGCTAATAATTCTACTCACGTCTGCAGGATCCATGGCGTCTGGAAGCATCCAAACGCCGATAAAAGACGATTTTTTTCATCTCCATCTGCGGTAGAGTTTGCCCTCTCAACGAAATAATTCCATTCGTTTCGTGTGCCGTATCGCGCAATCGTACAGTACAGCACTTCGCGTGCGTACGCTGGTACGCTGAAACGATCAAAATTTTACCTCAAAAACGAACCGTGAAATCAAAGTGAGATCAGGAATGAAAATTATTTCGAAAATTTCATCATATAAAAACTACTTTTTTTATATTATATTAATAAAGCAGTCAATAATCAATTTCTATACATAAAAATTAATATTATTTCTTACTCATTTTGTTATAAACAATTTAAAAATCAGCTCAACACATTAATCTGGTAACTATTTTATTAATAAAATTTTATTAATAAAATTTTTAAATGAAGAAAAGCAGTTTGTGTAAAATGAGTTTTTATAAATTGAGACACATATTGTTAGTATAAGAAAGCTATATCAACAAATATTTAAGAATAAATGAATGAAAATTATGAATGAAAAATCGATATTTTTTTTTATCAAACTTACACTTCGTCCGCATTGGAATGATCCTTCAATTTCGCAAAATGATTCTTGGACCATTCAAGGCAGTCCGCATTCTCGAAAGCACACGCTATTGTAAGAGCGGTCAAAGTTAGTCGCGATCCTTCATCGATCTTCCACCCCACGTCTGAGTACAATGTTGAAGTAAACTTTAGTGTAAACTCCTGTAAATATTAATTCTATCTATTAATCCTATTAAGTCATCTAATAGCAAGAAAATTAAACTATTATCTTTTCTATAAATTTTTTCTAATTTTAAGTTTAATTTTTTACATTTTTTTCAAATTTTAAACATTCATGTTTGCTACAACTTTGTCGCGTCAATAATAAAAATAATAATAAAATATTTTTTTAAATATTCCTCAACGTAAATTTTTTATTATTATTGAATATTATATTTATGAAATATACATTTTTGATTAAGTTACTTTTTACTATCACTTTAATACAGTTACATGTTATATTTTATAAGATGTTAATTGAATATATATGTTAGAGAGTTAATAAGTTTTCAAATATTTATTAAATATAGTTGGTCCAAACTTGTTTAAATTGATATAATCTTTTAATGTTCGTTTCTCTCCATAAGCTCCGTTACACTACCTGAAAAGGACTGAAACCCGACGTCTCGTAAAGGAGACCGTTCAACTTCAACAGATGACGCATCAGAGCACCCCAAGGAGCATAATGTCGTTCCTTCATTTGCATATATTTAATAAAGTCGAAAGCGGTCGCGTATTTCGTCAGGCCGACCGCGGCGAGCCCGAGCACATCGTCGATGAGTGACGCTCTGGTTTCTGCCGGGAGGACCTCGTGATTCTCCTCGAGAGCCTGTGCCAAGAGCTTCCAATTTTCCTCGTCATAATGCACACGATAATAACCTTAAAAGCAATTAATAATGATAGAGCGAGCACTTTTGTCGCCTTTTGCAATTTTACATTAAATTCGAGGGTATTAAAATTAATGTGACATCCTCTCACCAAGAAATTATTTTTCGCATAAGTACAAATTGAAAAAAATCATTTGTTGCAAAAATCATGTTACACTATTAGAAATAATTAAGCAAAAGAGTATAAATAACAAAGTAAAACGTCAAATGTAGATTAAAATAGGAAGCAAAATCAATATTTTTTATTTTATTAGAGAATATAAATTAAATGTCTATAAATATTTAAAATTTTGATAAATTTTATTTTAATTTTCTTTTATTATTATTAAACTTTTTTAGAATAATAAAATTTATAATTATTTTACTGAACGTTCCGTTTATCCATTAGAAGAGAAAAAAAATATATGATAATATTTGACAATAAAACGAGTGAAAAAAATATTTTGCTAATCCTGATAAAAATGGTTTTTTTAATTTTTTGTAAATAAGTTTTTTTATGAAATGCACTTTTTGAAACAAATATTTATGGAACCACCTGTTTTATTCACATTGAACACAACCCAAGAATCTTCCGCCCCAACGTTATGCACCACCATCTCCGCTTCAGAATGGAACCATATCTTCGTCGGAGATGACCAATCATTGCTCGTTTTGTTAATATAGTCAAGCGGTATGTACCAGGTCGGTTGATTGTCGGATGATTGGTCATATGTAAATCTTTGCTGTGCAACATACAACAATTGATAAATATAGTAATATTATAGTAATAAATCCTTTTTCTCAAGATGAATAAATAAATATCTCACGGAGAAACATTATTAATGCAAACTGTAACATTTTCCATAAAAAAATAAATACGCGATTTAATTGTTATTTAGGTCGCACCTGTCGAATGACAGCGGTACCTTCCTTGTACTTCCTCATGACGCTAACAATCGGATATCCGTGATGCGAAATCCAAGAATTCATCGCCTCGGACAACGTGATTTCTATGGGCAAACCTATGGTTTCTTCCGCCATCGCTTCCCAAAAATCGTCAACGCTTGCTGTCGAGTAATTCCTAAAAAGGATGTTGAATTAAATGAAAATTTCAGCATTTTTCTACGACGAAAAATGGGGCGCTATTTTATTGATGCTTTCCTTGCACCACGCCGGAAAATTGTACGGCACATTGCGATTCACAATGCCACAGAACGAAATATGCATATATATCGGTGATAGGTGTACTTATGTAACGAGCCCGATAAAGAAGCATGAGGAATAATGGCCGGCAGCTCGTGACATTCAACGAGTGGCATTATCATAAAGCCGGTGGGATAACTCGCTGTAAAACGCGTCGATTATCGTTTCGACGACTGAATCACGCTGTCGCACGAGCGAGCGGGCGAGCGATTTAAACGACGGATCGCGCGATTAATGAACGAATCGACGGCGGCCCTCTCGAAGGATAAAACGACGATAATGTGATATACCCACCACCTCGCTATGAATTTCCGGTAGCCGTTCCTAAAGGCGGTATCGTTTATCACGCCATGCAACATGCGAATCAAGCATGCACCTACAAGAAGCAGTCAGAATGCAGAATCACATTATGCAGCGTTACGAGAGCGTATATATTCGATACTGCCTTTCGAGTAAAGCTACGACTATTCGATGTAATATTTTCATGTGATTAAAAGCAATAGAGCAATATATATTTCCAATTATCCAAATATGATTAAGTCACATAAGAAAAGCGATAAATCGAAAATATCCTGAAAAATTAATGTAAAACTTTTAATTTACATACAAAGTAATTTATAACGCAGACAGATATTTTTATATTACTAAAAATATTGAATTACTCAACGTTTGTTGCATCTGCAAACATCTTTAAAATGTGCAAATATTAAAGTGTTCGAATAGTCACAACTCCCCTTCCAAGTGTCAATATCTAGCTGATATAATAGCGAAGACATACATAATTTTTAATACTTCAATAACATATTGAAGATAAAGTATTGATACCAATATTTTAATAATCATATCGTTAATAATATCAGGAGTAAAATATTAATACTTGGAAGTATCACAAGCATTGCTTGAAGAAAGAACGATCGAACTAATAGACAATTTTTACCTTTCTTATGACGAGCGTTATCGTTCGAGAAATCCAGATGGGCAGGATTGACATTCGATTGCAGCGATCTCGAAACGCTGTAACTATCTTCTTCCATGGCATCCCATTGCACGTTGGCGAGAAAAGCAAGATTGGAGCCCAGTGACGAATCTATCTGAAAATAGAATCTCATAAAAACTTTGCTTTCTTCAGCGGAGGAAAATAGACCTATCCTCATTTAGATATTATAAATTATAAATTATTAAATTATAAATCAGTTATTTCAAGAAGAAAAATAACCGTATACTAAAGATAAAAAGCAAATTAAAGGCAATGCAAGAAATTAAAATTTTATATTGTTATAATTGAATATTATCCTTTGTATAAAGAATTTTATTTTTGTATAAGAAATTTTCTTATGGATACATAAACTTTTTACTAAAAAATTACTATAAAATTTTGCAATGTCGTATCAGGTAAGCCAATTTCTCATTATTTAATATCCCATATTGCCTTTTAAAATAATAAATGTAGAATTAGCTTAATTAAATTTAACTCTGAAAGTACATAATTTTGACATATATAATTTAACACGTGTTTTAGGAAAACATTGTCCATCAAACATCAGTGCTTTCAGAATTGACAGATTGCAAATATTATTCCAATTATGTGCCTTCTCCATCAACGCATGTTGCAAATGGAGCATAGAGCCTTCAAGCAGCCAAACGTCCGTCCAGTTCTTCATGTTCACAACGCCGCCTAGCCATTGTTCTCCTATCAAGCTTATCAGAGCGCTTAACGCGTCCGTCTTCGTGACCATGGGAGATCGATCCGCGGCGTAGAAGAACGATTGCCTTGAAAACAATTTAGCTCGATATAACGCGATATCAAACATAAAACAATAGTGGAGTATAATGGATTAGATTTGCATTCGCACGCATTTTTTTACCATAAACAACAAATTTAATATAAAAATTTTTATAAATTAAATATAAAATTTTTTCTTAAAGGTTTTTAACATTAATTGCTAGCTATATTTTAAGAATTTTAATAATTTAAATGAATAAATCTTTTAAAAAGAATTATTTTGAAGAATGTAATTATCAAATCGTTGACTGAAAATTCTTCTAATGATGTTTTCCGTCAAATTTTGTAATAAATTATGAAACCAAATTTTATTCTATTAAACTTTGTAACAACTTTAAAATTTTTTTATATATAATATTTTAACAATGCTAGATAAATCGAAACTTGCTTCGAAACTCACTTGAAATTAATTCAAAAAATATAATTTTATAATCCTTCTGAAGCTTAAATACCAGAAAATTATAATTCTTTCCAAATAGTTTTGTAATAATCTTATTAATTTTAGCAGATGAAATAACTATCCTATGATCTCTCTTACTTCAATGATATTAATCCCGGGCTTCCAGTGTTATCGATGATTCGCGACGGTAGTGCGACGATATCCAATTTCGGTAGTGGATAAGGCATCGAGAACACGTTGTTCAAACATACGACGATTTGCTCGAGTTTGTCGAGAAGGTAAATTCCTCGGGATCGCTTTTTTGAATCACTCCAGAAGATCACTGTCGCGTTATCAGGCCCCAACGACTCGATTTTTGTCTCGCCTAATGACTCGATCTCACCCATTACAAAAGCCAAATTGTAAGGTGAAAGCAATGGAGTATCGCTGAAGCTGTCAAACATCCGATCATCCGACCTTAAAAGATATAAATCTAATCACTTCTTCAATACAATAAAGGTTGTATTCAATACAATACAATAAAGGTTGTATGAGAAAAATATAGAGAGATAATAATATAATAAGAAATTTCATATATAATTAATCACATCAAAATTTATATTTTAATGAAAAAAATCTTTGTTTCTAAAATAATCGATAATTATAATGTATTCTAAATGCATTTTATTTATTTTAATTTTATAATTATAAGAAAATATAGAACAAAATGATTAACAATCTATAATGTTTGATAGCACGTTTTAAAATTATCAAAGAGAGACACATAGAGACAATAAGAAAGTTTATGTATAATTTATTTTATATATGTTTCTTGCTCCTTTTTTGTCTGCTTAAAAGATTAAATATAGTTAAGAAGCAATAGTGAAATTTTGCTATTTAGTTTTGCCATTTTAAACTGTTATAGTCTTCTAAGCACGCAAACGTTGACACAGCTGCAACTAACAGCGTGAAATACGCACATGTCTTTGGAGATACTGAGAGGCATGTTCGACAGGACTCTAGCTTCGCGTGGACGTGCCACGGACACCGAGAAGACAGCCTTGAGATTTATGTCATCAAAGACAGGCAAAAGATGCGAAGCTCCCACAGGTTTCAACCGCGTTCCGATCAACGATTTACTAGAAAAAATGAAAATGAAAATTTGCCAAAGCATACACTATTAAGATAAAAATTTCTCAGATAAAAATGTTTTAAAAATTCTTAGATTAAAGACACACAACTGCATCTATCTCAACTGCGTGAAACAATTGTTTTTAATGCATGCTTTATTCGTACAGTTGATCAAATTTATTATTTAAAAAATAAAAAGCTTTAAAATAAAATAAGAAAGAGGTGAAAGAAGACACAAGTGAAAAACAAATTTTAATAATTTTTATGTTATCGAAAAGAATACTAAGAATATATTCTTTTCTAAAATAACAAGGTTAAAACAATTTTCTTTTATATAATTTTCTAAAAACTTTATCAATGTTGTAATTGTATTTTTTGCAAGATAACGCTTTAACAGTATAATTAATTAATTGATTTTCTTTGTTACTATGATCATGCAGAAAAAACTCACTTTCCTTCACCAGTCTCGTTGTAGCTCGCCAAATAAATCGCCTTGCCATCGAGCAGAATCTCGTAATCGATCTCCAAGCTGTACATTCCCGGGCTCATAGCAACGGCCGGATGTATCACGTGTAATCCGTTATTAGCATCCTCTTCATATCGTTGAATCTCCACTTCGGTTATGCTTCCATTACCGGATGTAGACGCCACCATGTCCACCGATCTAGATGTTGTTGCGTTCGCGGATTCCTCAATTTTTTTATCCTGCACGGAGGAGCTTTCGTTTCTCAAAGAAGAAGTTTCATTATTAGAAACAGTTGCATTTTCTGGCGGATATTCCGTGACAATAGCGCGCGTTGTTTCTTGTTGATTTTCTAATTGCACCGATGACATCGCAGTAGAAGCCAAAGTGGTAGCGTTGGCTGCAGTAACAAATCGTTGTTCAGCATTAAAAACAATCGATTATATAATTTTTTCTTAAAAAAAGAACAAAAATTTGATATTGTTATTATTTAATCATATTAATTAAAAAATAAAACCAGAAATCTCCAGGTTAATTATATAACATTTAAAACGATAAAACTGAAGTTATTTCTCTTTTTATTTTAGAATTATCGATGAAGATTACGCAATTGACCACCTGCTTGCTATTATGCTAGATATTGGCACAGCTGCAAGCTAATCGTCTTATCGCGTATATTTCGCTACCAGAAATCTGTTGCTTTATTTAACAGTACATTAACCCGTTGCCTTATGATGGGTTACAGATTATAATCCAAATAAAACAATCACGAATCGCACTCGTGCTATGTTTCAAAATTAATTTTCAATATTGAAAGTATATAATAAACATTACGTAAATTATAAATTTTCAGCGCTGACGGCACTAAATTTACACAGTAACACAGTCATAGATTACAATCTAAATCTAATAAATGCAAATTTCATTTATAACACCTACGTGACAACTTTTGCGTATGCGTATTAAAAAATAATTTAAGGCAACTAATTAATCGATATATTAATGAGACAAATTAAATCGAATATTTCAATTAAATAATTTAAACATGGTCTATTTTTTATCTAATTAATTAGTATCTGTATTTTCTATTAGTAATCGATCGAAATATTTTTTTTATTTCCTGTTAAATCCAAAAAGATAAGAAAACAGTTTCGATAAAAGATATTGACGGATAAAAAAATATGTGTGGCATCCCGAAAGAAGTACCAGCGTTATCTTGGCTGCCTTTATTATCGTCCTCGGCGCGCCTCCTACGCCTTCTTTTTGCTCGTGCACTATTCTCTTCTAAGAGTGACAGCTTATAACGCGTTGCCGTAATGTTTCTCGCATTGAGAGATAATTTATTTGTTGTGTCGTCCATGCGGAATTCGATAATGACTCGCCCTTTCATCTTTGACGTTGTATTGACATCACTCGGCAGCATTAACTCGAGAGTATATCTCGAGGGATGAATGAAAGGTGATATCGGGACCATGATGATATCGCCTCCTTCCTCTACCTCATCTTCAATGAGGGCTAACGGATCGTATATCTAATTAACAGAAAATGCAGAGCTTGGCAAGAATTAATTTTTTTAGAGAGATATTATGTTTCGTTATTTTAAATATTAAAGCCATAAAATGCAAGATGTCACATGGACACATCAGTAATCAAAATTTAAAAACGATACGAAGACAGTAATATAAAATAATTCAAAATTTCTTTTACACAACAAATAACCTTAAACAAAATACCAATTTTAATTCACAAATAATCGAAAGGTAAATCTATGATTATATTTTTTTTGTTTTATTTTAAAAACATTTTATTTAAATCAACTGTTATAAAAGATTAGCGTAGCATTAAACTATTAATAATAACAAATAATTTATATTATATTAAATAACTCACTCTCGTTTTAGGCATCGTGCCTATATTCCATCCGATCAGACCGGCGACGATCACAATGATCACGAACAAGACAATGAAGGAGAGGACTTTTTTATACGTTAAAAACCTAACCACCTTTCGTTGATGGACAATTTCCTCGCAAGGCGGAGGAAGCGCGGTATTACCCTCATACGTCTGCATCATACAGTCGGCTGAAAGTATTAAACTCGCGATAGAGAGATGCGCACATTTGTTATCGCACTTAATATTGGTGTCTATTGTTTCTTTTTTATAGGCTGTAACACTTTCAAATTGATCGTCAATTGTATCGATCATGTAACGGGCCATTTGGCACATTGTAAATGATATGAATTGTTAAATATTATTACCCTTTTTAAATAAAATATCTTTTCTCTTGATTAGATATTTTAAAAAAGTCGAAAGAAATTATTTAAATGTGTTTCTTAAATATATTTTTTTTATTATTATTATAAGAGAAAAAGTTAAAGAAATGAAAATGGGAAAACTTTTTATATGTCGTAATATTTGTATATTTTATATATTTTGTATTATTTGTATATATTTTAAATATATATAATAT